CAACACAAACACAACACAAACACAAAACAAACACAACACAAACACAACACAAACACAACACAAACACAACACAAAAACAAATACAAACTCAACATAAACACAACACAAACACAACACGAACACAACACACAAAAAACACAAACATAAAACAAACACAACACAAACACAACACACAAAACACATCACAAACACAACACAAACACAACACAACACAACACAAACACGACACAAACACAACACAAACAAAACAAAACACAACACAACACAAACACAACACAAACACAACACAAACACAACACAACACAACACAACACAACACAACACAAACACAACACAACACAACACATCACAACACAAACACAACACAACACAACACAAACACAACACATCACAAACACATCACAAACACAACACAAACAAAACACAAACAAAACACAAACACAACACAAACACAAAAGAAAACATACCGCGGGCGGACGCGCCTGATTCAGTGAATAACTATAAAACACCGGCTTGTCCACAAACCGAAAGGCAGAATAATAATTAGTAAACAGTACGTTTAGTGTATAAAATAAATAAAAGGCAGTATTTAAAATATACATGTTTATCAATTCGTGCATTATTTTTCCAGTTCTTTAATTTTAAAAATTTATAATAGAGTTTTATGACTTAAACCATTGCGCACCTAATGAACGTGATGGCGCGTGTATAATGTTGCGTACGTTCAGTGAATAAAATAAATAAAAGATAGCCTTTTATCAATCTATGCTAATCATAATATTCCAACAACAATGTCCTCTTACACGTCTTCAGAATTTGCATTCATATTTTGCTAATTATATTATTCCAACAATAATTCTCTCTTGGAGATTTTGCGTTCACATTTCTTTTTATTAGCGTGAGTAGAATTTATTTTTAAACTACCTCCCAGTTTAATTTATCAGTTTTTTCGACCCTATTATTATTAAAATATATCCACTTTTTTCTAGGAATCTAAACGAAAATAATATTTGACATTGATCCGTTTAATATGTTTTATGAATTTGCGTGTATTTAATATTTTCTTTACGTTATGCGAAAGAGTAAAAACAGTGGCAACTATAAAATAAATTTAAGTCGTTATATAAAAAAAACCTACTCTATCACTTAAGTAAAGTAGACCTAAGAAATCCTGGAGGACATAGGAAGGAGAAGTAAGGGCTGCTGGGCTTACGTGGTCTCATTTAAATAGAACCGTCCAAAACATAGTCAAGGGGATAAGTAAAGTCAAGTTATACGTTGTAATATGAATTATTTCTGTGAAGTAATTACACAAAGATTCCTCTTTAGACCTAGCAATCCTTTGTTCAGATGAAGCTCATACATTTTTTTTACCTCGGCATATGATGGGACGGTGTGGTAACCACTAAGTCCAGCCGCCTTTTCTTTCCTCTAATCACGTAAATACAAGAAAATCGTGACCCAAATGAACAAGTTACAGTACGAGACCTAACACACACTCGAGCTACGGGTAGCACAGAAAAAAGGTTGACACTAACACGACAGGAGCCCATATTCGCATACGTCACTTATCTGTATGTGACCGACATGTTAGCAAAAAAAGGAGATCGTGAACAAGTTAAGACTAATTAAGCTAAGATTTAAAAAATAAAGAACCAAATAGATAGCTTTATCATAATGACAAAACATTTGATTTTGTTAATCTTGCCAGCACAGTTAGGATTGACTTATGTTGAACACATAAGCATTGACAGAATTATTTAAGTATATATATATATATATATATATATATATATATATATATATATATATATATATATATATATAACATATTGCATTGTCTTTAATACTAACCCATGTGCCGAATTTCAGACAAATAGGTCGGTTAGAAATGCCCGGAACTTTGATCTGTGACCACAGACAAAAGCACGAAAGACAGAGAAAGCAAGTTAAACTAAAGCTTGTGAAAAAAAAGTGCATAAAAAACGTTTAAATAACAAGCTTTTATGTAACAATGCACTTAAAAGGGATAAAACAAATGATTTTCTTTACATATATAACAATACACTACAGTTTTTAATTAGTATATATAAAAAAGACGTGTGTCTCTTCCTAAATATTAGTAAACGTATCCAATAGATAATTTAGTGACCCACGCTTTTCATTATAGAAATGTAAATAGTAGTGGTCGAGTAGGTAAAAGCTCATGTTTATTAAACCGAAAAGTCTCGAGTTCGAACCCTCGGGCAGATGAGGCTCTTTAATTTGGAACAGCCACTCTTCTAGGAGACACAACTCCAAAATCAAACAACTGCTACCTTGTAGTTTGTTCTTGGTTGGACAAAGACTATGGAAGCAAATCCAAAAAGAAAAGCAAGCTGAAATCGGAGTCAATGACGCATAACTAGTGGACACGTATATTTAATTGTGTTGGAGGGGATCCCTTCCAGCACTAAAATTAAGAACGAAGAAGAAGAAGATTAAATATATAAACAAAAGCTTTGTTTTTCTCCTTTTTGTGCATTATTTTAAAAAGCTTGTTATTAAAACGTTTTTTGTGCAATTTTTTTATTACCAGAACCGAAGAACTATTGTGTTAGAAAATAATGGCGTTCGTCAGTAGAAGAAATTCTGAGCAATTAGCCTTTATGTTTTGACACAATCCCATTTGTGCCTAACTTTAGCTAGAAAGCCAGCAATAGACACTATTACCATAACAAAATTTAAAATTTCAATATATAGCTTAAAATATGAATCAAAATTATCCTACACATCAATAGAAGGTTTTAAATAAAGAATTTATTTGGGGCGTTGTCTATAATTATTACAGAAGTAAAACGAGAGTGATCTCCCCCCAAACATTCGCGTACATTCTTATACTAGCCGTCCCGGCCAGGTCCAGCACTGGCCTCTGTGAAAGAACTATCTGTAAAGGACCATCATTTTAGAGTTTATTAAGCAGCATTTACCCGGTATTGCCCGAGTTTAGGAAATATTTTACTTTTCCAATTAAATGGCTATATGCAAATACGAACGTTTGACATAAAGCACATAAAACTAAACCTAACTCTAATATAAACTTAACCCTAACCACAACCAACCAAAACACAAACACAAACTAAAAAAACTCAAACGTAACCCAAACGCAAACCAAAACACAAACGCAAAACAAAAGAAAACACAAACCAAACACAAACAAGCACAAACACAAAAACAAACGAAAACGAAAACGAAAATGTAAACGCAAACACAAACGCAAACACAAAAATAAACGCAATTGTAACCTAGATGCAAACACAAACATAAACGAATACACGAACGCAATCACAAATGCAAACGCAAACACAAATACAAATAGAAACCCAAACGCAAACACAAACGCAAACCGAAACGGAAACAATAACTTAGAAAAGAATGAAAAATTAAAATCGAATATAAACTCAAACTTAAATGCAAATATAAACGCATAATGCTCAACGTTTAGCCTGGGGCGCTACATTGCACCCTGTCGGGGTGCAGGCGGAACCACATAATTCAAATTAGTAAACTACTATAATAACCCATCTTATCCTTAGTCTATTAAACTCACTTAACCGAAAGTAAGTGCCAAAGCGCTAACGGGAAGGTCATAAAAATGTGATTAAATTTTAATCATCCAGATGAAGCTGTACTATGTTATCTGAGTTTTAGAAGCCAGAAATAGAGTAAAGTACAACCTCCTGATATTGGGGGCATTCATAATTTGAGAGTAATCCAAGGTTAAGATTTTCTAAAATTTATGTTTGGAATTTCGACTGTCTAACTGAAATAGTATTTAAGTTGTTGTGTTCCCAATTAAATATAGTGACTGACCACTTTTGGTTACCGGAAATCGTACAAAAGTTGAAAGGAAGCTTTGCATACAACCTTATTTGAAATTTTGTCTACCTAACTTTAAAGGTACTTATATTAGCAGGTTTTTAGAGACCGGATTTAGAGTACGTATCATTTCCGTATACCAGAAATCGCTTACAAATTGAAAAAACGACAAATTTTACATATATGTATATATATATATATATATATATATATATATATATATATATATATATATATATATATATATATATTTGGTCAACATATCTGAAACGGTACTCAAGTTATCGTGCTTAAAGACACACACTCTGACGGACAGGATTGCAAAACTATATTTTTCCGACAAGGCAAAGTTATAAAATTTCATTATTCATCAAAATATCAATTTAAATTCTTGTACGATTACAATGAATCCTGTAAATTCCGTATCCAATACAGTGGGGAGGTGTAAAACGGCGAAAACTCTTAAATTTGTATTTAATTTTTCAGCACTATCACAATACTTTTTCTATACTCTGTGTACGAGAAAGTAAAAATACGCCTTTAAGCTAGCTCTGTAAAAAACGTAATAATAAAAACTTTATTTAGTATTCTATTTCTACAATTATCATCTAATTAAGATTCGGCCATGTAGTCCTAAACAGGTGTTTCAATAGAAAATAGACGAACAATTTGTTCAACTTGCTATTAATCTAATCAGGCATCACCAAAATAATTAATTTTAAAAATTTAAATCAATTTAAACGGTGTTTTAGAAAATGGAAATTCTTATCTCGATGACTTAAAAATATTACTATTTGTTACAGTTTGAAAATGCAGTGTCAGTCACGAGACGAATGTGACCCAAAAGTCATCTAAAATTGTATTCAAGTAAAAACAAAATGTGCGTACAATTAGTAGATAAATTGTTGTTTTTTTTTTTAAATTTTTTTTTAATAAAAAAAAAGATAACACTATTTTTTTTTAATTTTAAAATGCTTTATCGTTTCTTTAATTTATTACTAAAAAAAATTTAAACTTACAAATTCGTGTCGACCTTTGTATTTTAAAAATAAAATTAAAATGTTAAGTTCCAAATCAGGTTTTGTCCTTGAAGAAGGCCCATACTAAAGGTAACGACTTGGGCAGTATATAAAGATGGGGCGCACGGACAATCAACAAAAAGGAAGGCAGTTCTTCTTGACAACATACAAAGACAAGATCATAATAGCCAACAACTATGAGGGTGCTTGCTGTCTTCATCGTTGGACTTGCCGTCGTATTTGGTAAGACATTGCATCTCATGACATGTTTTGTACTTGATAATAATAAGGAATGTTTTTAAAAATATGTGAACAAATAGGTGACTGGAACAATGTATTATATATATATATATATATATATATATATATATATATATATATATATATATATATATATATATAATTTTGACCAGGTCTACAGTAAAATGGCTTAAAGGAGTTAGGCAAAATTAAATTATATTAAAATATACCAAATTTTGAAAATTAAAAAATAAAAAATTCAGTAAATTTTCTGTTACAAAAAGTATCCAGCTTTCTCTAATAGAGCTAGGAGAAGGACCAATGCTTTAGTGATCAATAGGCATACATGTTATTTTTTTAAACCCTGAGACCTACACAAAATGTTTATTTTTAAAGATGACTTTGCCATGGCAACCATATTTTTTGAAGAGTCCATTAAGCAAGCTAATAATTCCCCTCAAGTACCCTAACTTAGATTTAAAAGAAAAATATAAGGCTTATTAATTTGATTTTTTTGGTTGGGGGGGGGGGGGCTAACCCCATAAAAGGACACTTTTGGTTTGACTTTAGATTTCACCTCCCAGTCAAAATCTTTAACAAATAACTCGCTTTTACTTAGAATGTCTTGCTCGATTATTTTTTCTGAATATCTTATTAAAGTTTTGATGTAAGGGTTTAGGGTTAGGGTCTATCTGTGAACGACTGTATTCTGTTGGGTTTAGACTTGGAAGCATTATGAAGAGAAGACTGTAATTCAATAACGGGCGTAATGAGTTAAGCGACAAATCTTGCCTTATTGATACGGCTGTTATGTCGTCGTCTACACCGCCATATTGTTAATCACACTCAAAAATATGTGAATTTGTTTATTTTGTTGTTTTTTTTGTGTATGTCTTCTCCTTATAGCTGAATGGCCTTGACCGAGTTGTTGTTGATTCAGATTTCAATTGCATTTGAGTCCTACTTTGGACGTTTCTTCAGATAGCTGATTCGTTTTGGTTTGGGGAATGCTATTCGATGAACTTTATTTATTAATTATAAAATTATTAACAAATGTTTGGTGCTAAGCATTTATGTAATACGTGGGTACTTTTCAGGAAATGTCGTAATTACCCCGGGAAACAGAAATGTTAACACTCCAGTTGGCGAGATCCATACCAGAAATGTCGTGATTACCCCAGGAAACAGAAATGTTAACACTCCAGTTGGCGAGATCCATACCAGAAATGTTAACACCCCAGTTGGCGAGATCCATACCAGAAATGTTGTCATTACCCCAGGAAACAGAAATGTTAACACCCCAGTTGGCGAGATCCATACCAGAAATGTTAACACCCCAGTTGGCGAGATCCACACCAGAAATGTTGTCATTACCCCTGGAAACAGAAATGTTAACACCCCAGTTGGTGAGATCCACACTAGAAATGTTGTCATTACCCCAGGAAACAGAAATGTTAACACTCCAGTTGGCGAGATCCACACCAGAAATGTTAACACCCCAGTTGGTGAGATCCACACCAGAAATGTTGTCATTACCCCAGGAAACAGAAATGTTAACACCCCAGTTGGCGAGATCCATACCAGAAATGTTAACACCCCAGTTGGCGAGATCCACACCAGAAATGTTGTCATTACCCCAGGAAACAGAAATGTTAACACCCCAGTTGGCGAGATCCACACCAGAAATGTTAACACCCCAGTTGGCGAGATCCACACCAGAAATGTTGTCATTACCCCAGGAAACAGGAATGTTAACACCCCAGTTGGCGAGATCCATACCAGAAATGTTAACACCCCAGTTGGCGAGATCCACACCAGAAATGTTAACACCCCAGTTGGCGAGATCCATACCAGAAATGTTGTCATTACCCCAGGAAACAGGAATGTTAACACCCCAGTTGGCGAGATCCATACCAGAAATGTTAACACCCCAGTTGGCGAGATCCACACCAGAAATGTTGTCATTACCCCAGGAAACAGAAATATTAACACCCCAGTTGGCCAGATCCACACCAGAAATGTTAACACCCCAGTTGGCGAGATCCACACCAGAAATGTTGTCATTACCCCTGGAAACAGAAATGTTAACACCCCAGTTGGCGAGATCCACACCAGAAATGTTGTAATTACTCCAGGAAACAGAAATGTTAACACCCCAGTTGGCGAGATCCATACCAGAAATGTTAACACCCCAGTTGGCGAGATCCACACCAGAAATGTTGTCATTACCCCTGGAAACAGAAATGTTAACACCCCAGTTGGTGAGATCCACACCAGAAATGTTAACACCCCAGTTGGCGAGATCCACACCAGAAATGTTAACACCCCAGTTGGCGAGATCCACACCAGAAATGTTGTCATTACCCCTGGAAACAGAAATGTTAACACCCCAGTTGGCGAGATCCATACCAGAAATGTTGTCATTACCCCTGGAAACAGAAATGTTAACACCCCAGTTGGCGAGATCCATACCAGAAATGTTAACACCCCAGTTGGCGAGATCCATACCAGAAATGTTGTAATTACTCCAGGAAACAGAAATGTTAACACCCCAGTTGGCGAGATCCATACCAGAAATGTTAACACCCCAGTTGGCGAGATCCACACCAGAAATGTTGTCATTACCCCAGGAAACAGAAATGTTAACACCCCAGTTGGCGAGATCCACACCAGAAATGTTGTCATTACCCCAGGAAACAGAAATGTTAACACCCCAGTTGGCGAGATCCATACCAGAAATGTCGTCATTACCCCTGGAAACAGAAATGTTAACACCCCAGTTGGCGAAATCCATACCAGAAATGTTAACACCCCAGTTGGCGAGATCCACACCAGAAATGTTGTCATTACCCCAGGAAACAGAAATGTTAACACCCCAGTTGGCGAGATCCACACCAGAAATGTTAACACCCCAGTTGGCGAGATCCACACCAGAAATGTTGTCATTACCCCAGGAAACAGAAATGTTAACACCCCAGTTGGCGAGATCCATACCAGAAATGTTAACACCCCAGTTGGTGAGATCCACACCAGAAATGTTGTCATTACCCCTGGAAACAGAAATGTTAACACCCCAGTTGGTGAGATCCACACCAGAAATGTTGTCATTACCCCAGGAAACAGAAATGTTAACACTCCAGTTGGCGAGATCCATACCAGAAATGTTAACACCCCAGTTGGCGAGATCCATACCAGAAATGTCGTCATTACCCCAGGCAACTAAGCAGTAATATGTTGCTTAACACAAAGTATGAAATTTCTGTCATACATTTGTCAAAATAAAATTAAATCTCTGTCTTCGAACAAAGTTTCTTCGAGGTTTTTTTTTTAATTTAATATTTCTAATGGTGTTCTTCCTTGTTTAATTTGATAAACATAATTTTCTGGCAATAATGATATAAATATAATATTTAACAGTTCGTTACACAAACACAATAGACACCAGACTAATTCTAATATATAAAAGCCCATGTGCGCACTTCTCTCTGTCCGCAAAATTTTTTGGCAACGTCGTCAGAATGTTCAGCGATATATGGAGAACTTAAAAATACGGATTTTTGATGAAAATAATATGGTGGACGGTATAAATGTATAAACTAAATTTTCTTTAAAGAAGAAAAATAAAAATAAAAGCATATTCAAATGTAGATCAGATTTCTTACTAAAGCGTTTATTGTCCTGACAAGAACGCATTAAACAATGACATCACATGTCATATGTTTACACTATAAGGAAAGAACCCAAAACTAATGGCGCCATCTTCAAATTGTAGAATATTAAAAAATTAACTAATTCATTCAAATTCGATTTAGATCTACGTACGCTATTAAATATATACAATACTTAATTATCTAATATATAAAGTTCAATTCTGTATGTTTATATGTATGTAATCGAGGATTACAAAGGAATACAAGAAAAAACGAAAAAACAAAACGATACTTAATGGATTCAAGTGTTAGATTATTAAAGTGCTCATGGTCTAAATTTATGAGATAAAAAAAAATTACTCTTGAAAGTTTAAAAAAACAATTTTCATTTTATATACTTAGAATAACAATTTTCAATTACAAACATTACATATAATTTGAAAAAGTGTATGAACATTTATAACATTTCTAAAATTGTGTCTGAAATGTATTTGCATTTTGTCCTATAGTTCTCATAACGTCCCTTGATTTGGAAAACACAGTTACTTCCCTTTAAAAAAACCATTAAATCGGTGGAAGAAAGAATTTACTTTTTATTACTTTGTTTTGGTGTTAGGTAAAAAATTACATAATTAGCGGGGGTTGATTGTATTGTCGTTGGTATTTTTAATACTGCCTTTTATTTATTCTATACACTGAACATACTGTTTACTAATTATTTTTGTAAATCAATTACACTTAATAAGCCAGGTCCTACAAATCCTATATGTTTATTTCTTTCCATTTACGGATAAGCTTGGAGTATTATAATTTTGTTCACTAAATTGAAACAGACGCGTCCGCCGGCGCCTCTGCACGTTTCGATTTTGCGCCCTGGGCTATCCTGTGAGCGCTATGCTGCATAATTTTGTTTTAAACAGTGCGATAGACTATGGATAAGAAAGGTTACTATAGTCTTTATGTGAATCAAATCCGGGCGTCCTCCGGCACCCCGACAGGGTGTTATTTGGCGCCCCAGGCCTTCCCGTGTACGTCATAGTACCTATGTTCGCGTAAGTGAGTTCAAAAGACTATGAATAAGTTGGGTACTATAGTCGTTTACTAAGTTGAATCAGGCGGTTACGCCGCACGTCGTCATGGTGCGATTTGCCGCCCCGGGCTAGACTGTGGACACTTTGAGTTTATCTTTGCGTTTGTGTTTTCTTTGTGTTTGAGTTTGGGTTTGCGTTTGTGGTTGTGTTTGCGTTTAGATTTGGGTTTGGGTTTGTTTTCGTTTGCTTTTTCTCTTTTCGTTTGTGTTTTCGTTTGCTTTTTTCTTTGTATTTGTGGTTGTTTTTGTATGTTGTTTTTTTGTGTGTTTTGGTTTTGTTTGGTTGTGGTTGGGTTTGTGTTTGCGTTTGCATTTATTTTCGTTTGCTTTTTTGTTTGCGTTAGTGTTTGTGTTTTCGTTGTGTTTGTGGTTGGGTTTGTCTTTGTCTTTGCGTTTGTTTTTGTGTTTTCGTTTGTGTTCGTTTTGTGTTAGTGTTATGTTAGCTTTTTTTTGTGTGTTTTGGTTGGTTGTGGTTAGGGTGGGCAATGCCGGGTAAAGGCTGTTTACTAAACACACAAGTTATGGTCCTTTACAGATATGTTTTTCTAATTTACTAACGCGGACTCTCTATGTAAACTACTTAACTAATTTTATATCTGTTACGTTTACGTTTACGTTTACGTTTACGTTTACGTTTACGTTTACGTTTACGTTTACGTTTACGTTTACGTTTACGTTTACGTTTACGTTTACGTTTACGTTTACGTTTACGTTTACGTTTACGTTTACGTTTATGTTTACGTTTATGTTTACGTTTACGTTTACGTTTACGTTTACGTTTACGTTTTTGTTTTTGTTTTTGTTTTTGTTTTTGTTTACGTTTATGTTTACGTTTATGTTTACGTTTATGTTTATGTTTATGTTTATGTTTATGTTTACGTTTATGTTTACGTTTATGTTTATGTTTATGTTTATGTTTATGTTTATGTTTATGTTTATGTTTATGTTTATGTTTATGTTTATGTTTATGTTTATGTTTATGTTTATGTTTATGTTTATGTTTATGTTTATGTTTATGTTTATGTTTATGTTTATGTTTATGTTTATGTTTATGTTTATGTTTATGTTTATGTTTATGTTTATGTTTATGTTTATGTTTATGTTTATGTTTATGTTTATGTTTATGTTTATGTTTATGTTTATGTTTATGTTTATGTTTATGTTTATGTTTTTGTTTTTGTTTTTGTTTTTGTTTATGTTTTTGTTTTTGTTTTTGTTTATGTGTAATTGTATATGCATTTGTAATTGTATATGCATATCCATAGTACAAATATTGTTAAGCAATATTTATGTTACTCGTGCTTTTAATATTAAACTTTAGAAATACAAATTATATAATCTTTTTGTACAAAACCCTGATGCGTTAGTTAAATCGTGCCAAAATTAACTTTTAAAACCATTTTAGAACCAATTTTACCCTTCTATCGCACTTATCTCTAACTAAGAAAAAAGAAGTCACGATCTGTAGTGTATTTTGTTTTTTATTTAATGACAGTAAGTCACTGATAAGAAAATTTACGTGGGACACTGAACAGCAGCACCAATGTGGCCATTGCCTTATTTCTACCAATATTTATTTCAAATTACGGTTAATTAAAACGAACCAACTGTTAACTCATAAGCTTCCCTAAGCATAGTATCTAGACCTAAATTCACTCACAGACTTTACTGCTAATAATAAGTCTTCAATATAGAAAGGTATAGTGTGGTCAGCATTTTACCCAGCTGCATTGACTACCTGTAACGTGGGTCAGGATCCCATCAGAACTATCCCAATTCTCTAGCGCGATCCCGATCTATATCCCTTATCACTACACCTACAACTGAAGAAAAGAAGAAGAGAAAACGTGCGACATGTTTCTTTTTGTTAATTTCGCAGAGCAGTGTACTGATAAAAAACCGAAGTGGACAAGGGGTGACACCACATTGCAAAATAAAATATGTTTCGATGTTTGGACATGACTGCTAAGTAACTTTAGCGTGTGTGTGTGTGGAAGGGGGGGGGGTTAACAACAGTTAAACAATAATTGTCAATTTGATTGTGTAAGTACTTTTGCCTTGGGTCGATACGCTTGCGCCTGTGTTTTTTTTTTGTTTTTTTTTTTTTGTTAAGCATGATTTGTGATTAGGGCATTTTACAAGTTTTTATTTCACGCTTCCTCCGTCTGTCGTCAGCCTGTCTGTCTAGATCGAAACGCCCGACCAAAGTTTCGGGCATTTCTAACAGACAGATCCGGTTCAAAGTTGGCACGTTGGTCAGGGCATGAAGACAATGGAATCCGACATTAAATTTGACTTAATTGGATGCCTAAATAATTTTTCATGAATTAATTAAAATTTTGTCCAAATGAGTAGCCAGTCTTACCCAACTATTCCGCGTTATCGTGTTTATTAGGCACGCAATAGTTTTTAGTTATGCAACTCTATTGCAAATAAAAACAATTTAAAGTATTGAAAAAATTCATAAAAGACGTTTTAATAACAGGCGCTTAGTAATAATGCACTGAAATTACAAAATAAATTATTTTCTTGAAATATTTAAAATACACTACCATTTAAATAACTAAAAGAAAAGCCTGGGTTTCTTCCTAAATGTTAGTAAAGGTATCCAACAGCTTATAAAGTGACCCACATTTTCTTCATAGTTATTTAAATGGTAGTGTATTTTTAAATATTTAAAAAAAATATTATTTTCTACTTTTTAGTGCATTACTATTAAATTCTTGATATTAAAACGTTTTTTTATTAAATTTTTAAATATTCAGTTTAACAATAAATTCTGACAATACGTCTATTTATACAGTAAACGAACCAAGGGGTAATGGTATTAATTGGACGTTATGATTAATGTTTTACATTATAATAAATAGATAATAGCATTCTAGAATCTGCTCTGACCCTCACTCAAGTAATGTTTTACGCTAGACACTATTTTACCGTTTTTAACTTATGATGAAAGATGATTTCTAGCACTTAATCATTTTATGTTTTTGGTTTGTTTTGTTGATATTAAAAGGAACTAGACTACCCGTTATCCTTGGATAACTGGATTTCCGGGGTCATCCATAAACGACATCACGTTTGTTTTACGATTTTTATCTTTCCCTCCCTCCCTTCTGTCACATATAGTCACAAAAAGCCAGACCCACATTTACAAAGACGTCACACCTCAGACATATATTTGTCTTTCAAAACACCGATTTCGACTGAGCATGGTTCTGACCACACTATATCTCCGTATGCTGAAGTCACAAAAGCAGGTGAATTTTTCCCAGGCCCCGTGTCCCCAACAAGCCTCACACAACATGTTTTCGCCTTTTAAAACTCTTGGCTGAGCGTGGGTGTGAACACACTATCTCTACATATGCCGTGTTCACAGAAACAGGTGAACTCTACTTTACCTGCCCCTTATCCCGCCAGGTTTCGAAAGGCAACTTTATCATTTTATTTTTTTAAAACTTCTATTTCTTTCTATAGTATTTTCTAAGCTCGAAACTCATTTTATTCATAAATGAAGAAATTATTAAAATTAACGTCAAACTAGTAATAATAAATTAGAATCAAATGTAAGT